TGATGAATATATATATATATATATATATATATATATATATATATATATGTTTTAGGCCTTCTATTATAATAAGTGAGCCCATCAAGATAATTCAAATATTTTTTATAATAAATAATTAATTAAAATCTTGTTGGGGCTATGATTTTTAATGAAAAAATAAATAAAATCTTTATTTTTCTAATTTTTTCAATTTCGGATCTAATTTCTGATAACATAGGTAATCGGATATGAATTTAACATTCAAATATTCGTTTGATTATTGGATTGAATCAAATAGGATAATTATTCTTAACAAATCGAATCGAATTTGAGTAGATCCGATCCATATATCCGATCCATTTATAACCGTAACTTCAATGCAAAGATTCCACAATCGCCCTGGTTTGAATTCACGGAAGAGGTTGGGCAACGTACCATCGACGGATGTTCTCTTCTTTGCCTCGAAGGTGTACGGAGAAACAATGTGTTGTGATAGCAATCTAGTTCTCTTGCTAACCATTTACTTTGGCACGTCAATAAACATATTGCTTACATAATGTCGCTTTCATCGTCTTCTCCGGCATAATTATCACATTATCCAAACTCGCGATATTATCTGTCATGTTGAGGGGTCATTTCCAGCATAGTTATTAAATTAATGTGTGTTTAGTTTATCAGCTCTACGCCACATTCGATACTAAAAATTCAATGTGCTTCAATTAGGGTTGTCAATAGATTAAATTTTGATCTGAATCCGATAAAATTAATGAGAGATGGATTTAGGGTCTCAATCCGATAACCCAATCGAGATTCAAATCCGATAATTCGTTAATTAAATAAATCAAATATGGATATAGATCAATCTAATCTGATAAATAAATAAAATCTTTATTTATCTAATTTTTTCAATTTCGAATCGAATATCCAATAAGATAGTTAATCGGATATGGATTTAACGTTCAAATATCCGTCGAATTATTGAATCGGATCGGATAGGATAGGATTATTATTATTAACGGATCGGATTGAATTTGAGTTGATCCGATCCATATATCTGATCCATTTACGGTCCTAACTTTAATACGAATATTTCACAATCACCCGGGTCGATTTCACGGAAGAGGTTGGGCAACGTACTGTCAACAGATGTTCTCTTCTTTGCCTCGATCGTGTACGGAGAAACAATGTATTGTGGCAGCAATCTAGTTCTCTTGCTAACCATTTATTCTGGCACGTCAATAATATGTTTCGTACAGGGTGTCATCCAAACTCGCGATGTTATCTCTCAAGTTGGGGGTTCTCTTCGGCATAGTTATGTATATTATTTATTTAATATTTAATTACGTTGTTTAATTATTTATTTAATCACTTAATTAAATAAAAAATTAATATTTAATTTAATTTCTTATTTAGATAA